CGCTGTCCCTCAGCTCTTCAGCTCAAGGCGAGCGCTCTACCACTTGAGCTACAGCGCCACTTCCGGTTTTCTGGTGGTTTATTGGAGATAGGAGTCTCTCACAGTCTTTCCTGCCCGGGCTGGCTTTGAACCGTGATCCTCACATCTCAGCCTCCTGAGTAGCTAGGATTACAGGCGTGAGCCACCAGCGCCCGGCTAAACCTATACTTTTTAAAACCAATCTTTATCTTTTTTTTTTTTTTTTTTAAAGCACTTTGCTAATAGTTGACCCTACTGGAGAAGAAGAACGTCTGGCAACAGGAACTTTAACGGTAGTAATGGATGAAGAAAGCAAGCTCTGTTGTCTTCACAAACCAGGCATGTCCCTGCCACTTCAGCTTCAACATACGTAATATAGATGCATATTCAGTGTGGGTTTAAAGAGGGCTAGATGGAATATGGATGTTTATTATTTATATAAGTTTATTTGCTAACTCAAGTTAAATTTCTAAACATCAGTGGTTCTTAAATTTATAGCACAAGGGGCTGGGAAGGTGGCTCAATGGTAGAGCGCTTGCCTTGCAGGCCTGAGGCCCTGTGTTCAATTCCTCAGCACCACATAAGCAAAAAGAAAAAAGCTGGAAGTGGCGCTGTGGCTCAAGTGGTAGAGTGCTTGCTTTGAGCTGAAGAGCTGAGGGACAGCGCCCAGACCCAGAGTTCAGACCCCACTACTGGACCCCCCCAAAAAAAAATTTATAGCACAAGTGAGAATCTTTGAGGCTCTGCTTAAATCTAACTTGCAGATTTTAGAGTTATACCACTGATTCTATATTATCAAAGTTTTTTGTAATTTGACCTGTAAGATTTAGAAACTCTTAAGATAACTGGAAGATTAAAAGTGTTGACATAATTTTTCAGGTGGAAGTGGACTGACTGGAGCTAAACTTCAGGACTGTATGAGCCGTGCTGTTACAAGACACAAAGAAGTAAAAAAACTAATGGATGAAGTAATTAAGAGTATGAAACCCAAATAAACAGCCACTACATTTTCAAAAGATTTGTAAAAACTGTATTTGTTACTGTCTACAAACTTTTTATACTAAATAAATACCAAACTACATTCTTCTGAAAGATGTTTTGTACGATTTCTTAGGTCACTTCCATACATATGTACAGTGAAACCATTTTAAAAAAGCAATGACTTAGGCAAATCAACCCCTAGTTAAACCATTTCCCTGCTTTTATTTTAAAAAAAACCCCACAGGGTTGTGCTTTTATATAAAGTTTATACACCTTAAAAAACAAAGAAGTAGAAACAACTGATTCAATGCTCTTGTGTTTTTATAAAAGAGAAAAAAATAAAAACTCAAAATTTTGGAGTGGTTGATGTGCCTCTTTTCATTTTACTTTTTGACTGGCTGCCTGAATGTCGATGATGATGTAGCTGAGCTGTTTGGGCTGCTGCTGCTGCCATAGCCATTTGATGCTGCAAGAATCGCAACTGCTGCAAGAGAGAGAGAACACCCAGTTACATTGAATGCAGGCAGGTAGGGAAAGGTGCTTTCCTGAGAGATGTAAACCATAAAACCGAAAGGGAGAAAGCACCAAGGTAACAAAAAAAGGGACTATAACACATCAAGACAACGCACAGTCAAACAGCACCAGTGGCACACACAGAAGCCTGCTGAGGGCTTTAAAAATGATTTTTTGCAAACTTCACAATTACGTGTTACTTAGCTCTGCCAGTCTATACTGCAGTAACTCAGCAACTTCAGTTACCATTTTGTTTTTCAGTGATAGTTTATGGCAAAATAAAACCACCCTGAATATCAAGACTGTCAACTCTAAGATACTGACTTTCCTTCTTAATAGTATAACATTTACTAATATTATAGTATGACATCTAATAGAAACACTTCTGCAGCACCATAATTAGAAAGTTAACAATTGGATTATTTCAAAATATCCTGCAAACTTACGTTAATGTGCCACCTACCAGCACTTCAAGGATATTTCAGTTAGGCAAGGAATATGACCTAAGTGTTTTAAGTACATTCAGCGCTCCAAGTCGACTGACAGGAATATCAGACTTTTACTAAATTATTCATCAGTTACTGCACTGTCTGAAAAGTCAGTAAGTTAAAATCTAATGCAAGGTATTTGAGGCACTTTTGGAGCTAAGTATCTTAAATATGTAATCAGAGTGAAGTTGCTGGATTACTTGTATCTGTTGCTGCTGCTGTTGAAAGGCAGAGGAGAGCTGGAATCTCTGCTGAGGAAGGCTTTGCTCAGGTCTGTTCTCGGCAGAGCCAAGCTGAGACAACACTACAGAGAGGAGAAGGGGAAAGCAGGCCAGTCAGAAAGTTTGAAAGCTACCAGAGTTAGAAAAGGACAACACAGAAAACAAGATAGAAAAAAGTTAGCAGCATGATTAATCTTAAGTATCAAACCACAGACATTTCAGAATAAATTTAGTCTCCTGTTAGTTAAGGATATCACTGATTATGGAACTTTGAACATGTAGAAGGAAGGGAGTACACCTGTGCCAAGGCACTGTGTATCTCTCTTGCACCTCAATGAAAACTTTTTTAAACCCCACATTATTCTTAAATACACCCAATGAAGTGCAAAAAGCGAATAGAAAAAATTCAAACTATTGTAACAACAAATACACAAATGTCACAAAGATGTGATAATACCAGTACTGATGGTGATGCACTCATACTATTTATCACTTGTTCAGCTGACAGGGGCCGTCATGTACCGATAAGGAAGTTATAGGTATGTCTGTATGTTTACAGAATCAATGTAATTAGTGACAAGCTTGGAGCTAGAAACATTTCCATGTTACTCTAAGAGTTCTTTCTACTAGATCATATGCTAGTTCTTTTGGAAAATGTATAATGTATGTAGCAGAGGTATGTATTTATAAACTTCTATTTGAAAAAATAGCTCTAGATAGAACTTGATATTTACTGATTTTTAAACAAAGACCTTGATTATTTCATCCAAAGGGAATTAGACATTCAGAAATGAAGCTGACAGAAATCTGAAGGCATTATAGTAAACTTATAGTAATAAATGTTGACATGTTCACTCATCAAAAATCCTTAAATTATCAAAGTTATACATGGGATTACTCATTTTTAATAAATGAAGAGTTCAAATTATTGTCGATTAGCAAGAAACATTCATTATCTTTCTTTACTGTTTACTGCTGAAAGCAACCAAATAGCCATTGAGTTTCATTTTTTTTTATACAAGTGACAAGTGGTTTATAGTACTTACCTTACTGACCATGCAATTAAAAGCTGTGACAATGAGGCAAGAGTATGCAAAAATAGGGAAATGTAGCCTCAAGTGTTTAAGAAAATGGAAGAATTAAGGTAATTCACAAAGGTTAAAAGCTGGCTAGCTTCCTAGTAAGTTCACTAATTATATAAATGTTTTTCTGTAAACTACTATTAGGAAAGTGTTAGTCAAAGCTCTTAATCAGTTGTCAAACTTATGACAAATTTTCAGCCAGTCCTTAGTCAATTTAATAGTTTACAGATTAAATACATTTTACCGATCACTGCTCACAAGGGAAGCAAAGGAAAATAAGTGGTGGGAACCCAAATAGCTAAGGTGCTTTTAGTAAATTCAGCTTGTGAAACAAAGAATATACATACCAGCTGCCTGTGATTGCATAAAACTTCCTACTCCAGTAAGGTTAATAACAGCAGCTTGCTGAGCAGATAAGGCCTGATCTTGACAATTTGAACCTTGTTCAGAACCCTGAATTAAAAAACAAAAAAAATTAATAAATGACTTATGCAAAGAGAAAAACCTTTTTGTGAAAGAATTTTTTTTTATTGTATGAGGGAAAAATATCACATTGTGTCTTGTAAAAGAAATAACATAAGGGAAAGACTACACAAGCACAATTAGCAAGAACCGAAACAACTGCAAAGGAAAAAAGTAAGCTCATGTTCAACTGATATGAGTGTCTATGGGAATCTGTAGGGGAGAAAAACTAGTAGATTTAAAAGGATTATAAAATACAAAAGATCAACAAACACCTGAGCACTACCTTCACACACTGTGCTCTGTCACAGAATACAACATGAAAACACATCATTTTCTGGGTCATAAAACAAACCTCAACAAACTCAAAATTACAGCATGTTTTCTTCCCCCAGTGATTTAACTAGAAACAAATCTGGAAATGCCCAAATGTTTGGCAGTCATGTATAAAGCCCATTTAAAGAGAAACTCACAAGTTACAGAACATTCTGGGGAATGAAAATGAGATAATATACCAACACTTGTGGAAAGCAGCTGAAGCAGTACTGAAAAGGAAATGAGTAACATTAAATGCTTTAAAAAAAAAGTCAGGTATCAATGGATTTATCTGTAATCCTAGGTACTCAGAAGGCTAAGATATGAAGGACCACAGTTCAAAGCTAGTCCAAGAAGAAAAATTTGCTAGACTCCATCTCCAAAATTACTAGGCAAAAATCTATGTTGAATGCATGGCTCAAGTGATGTAATTACAATCTACCAAGCAAGATGAGCAAATGTGAGGCCCTGAGTTCAAACCCCACAAGGGCAAAAAAAAAAAAAAAAAGTTTAGAAAAGACAGTCTTAACACAATAATCTCAGATTCTGCTTTAAGATATTCGAGAAACATTAAAGAGAAGTCAGCTGGGCACTGGAGGTTCACTCCTGTAATCCTAGCTACTCAGGAGGCCTCTGAGGAGCACAGTTTGAAGCTAGCCTAGAGAGTACAGTCTGTGAGACCTATATTTCAAATTAACTACCAAAAAGCCCCATGTAGCTGTGGCTCAAGTGGTAGAGTACTATCCTTGAGCAGAAAGCTCAGGGACAGTGCCTAGGCCCGGAGTTAAAGCTCCAGGACCAGCACACATGAAAAGAAAACATTAAAAGAAATAAATTAGACCTAACTCTACACATTAAAGGCCCATAAGGAAGACAGGTAAATACCAATTGTGACACTTACCAACTGAAAATACTAAACTCTGAAGATAAAGACCTCTAGGCAAAATGACTAAAATAAACATCCTTACAAAAGCAAGATTACACTGGCATTAGACTTCTTGAAATATAAAAGCAAGTGAAGTTGAAGAAGCATTTTCAATAAATCTAGAGAAAAACATAGATGAAATGCTTAAAGAAACTGACTGGACTTGAGAGTACTTCTTCAATGACTACCAAAACCTAAACCAAAGAAAATCCCCCAAAGACCAAACAACAACAAAAAAGACGTTTAAAAAAAGTTCTAGGAGACGGGCGCTGGTGGCTCACGCCTGTAATCCTAGCTACTCAGGAGGCTGAGATGTGAGGATCGCCGTTCAAAGCCAGCCCAGGCAGGAGAGACTGTGAGAGACTCCTATCTCCAATAAACCACCAGAAAACCGGAAGTGGCGCTGTAGCTCAAGTGGTAGAGCGCTTGCCTTGAGCTGAAGAGCTGAGGGACAGCGCCCAGGCCTAGAGTTCAAGCCCCACGACCAACCAAAACAAACAAACAAAAAAGTTCTAGGGGGGCTGGGAAGGTGGCTCAATGGTAGAGCGCTTGCCTTACATGCATGAGGCCCTGGGTTCGATTTCTCAGCACCACATAAGCAGAAAAAAAAAGCCGGAAGTGGCGCTGTGTCTCAAGTGGTAGAGCGCTAGCCTTGAGCTGAAGAGCTGAGGGACAGTGCCCAGGCCCAGAGTTCAGGCCCCACGACCGGAAACCCCCCCCCCAAAAAAAAGTTCTAGGAATTAGTTGCAAAATGTGAATATATTTTACACTACCAATCTGCACACTTAAAAACAGCTAAAATGGTAAATTTTGAAAAATATATAAACATATAAATACATTGAAAGAAAGCAAATGAATTTTATTAGCCAAGTAATCCTTAATGTATTAAGAATAAAGAAAAATTGTGTATCCTTTCTCAGAAGTAAACTAAAGGATAAACTTTATCCACTGCAAGTTGACTGAAGAGACTTGTCTAAAGGACTGATAATGATTTTATATGTATATGTATGCACATATATATATATATATACACACATATATATATATATATGTATATATATGTATTTTTTTTTTGTTGATTGTGGGACTTGTACTCTGAGCCTGGACGCTATCCCTCAGCTCTTCAGGGGGTAGAAAGCTCTACCATTTGAGCCACTGCGCCACTTAACATTTTGTATTTTTAACTGTAGCTAAGAAAAACTTTGGGGGAAGGGGACCCAAGAATCAATCTTCTTAGTTTCCCAGATGATTCCAAAGCATAGACAAAGTTCAGAAATACTTGTGTTCACAGTAATTCTACTTTGACACAGCTCTTATTCAATTTCCTTGTGTTTGGAATGTATAGTATTGGCTTTTGTCTATGTTCCCATTTTCCCATACATCATGATAATAGAGGTAACCTTCTAAGGATAAGACTGAGTAGAAAATACATGTTATAAAGGTTCAAAGTCTGGCTCTGCTATTCACTGTGTGACTTTAAGTTATTTATCTGAAACTTATTCCATAACTATTGTGTAAGATGTCTGTATCTATTCAGAATGACACTCATTAGAAATAGGAAACTAATAGTTAATAAAAATAATATAGGAAATGTTAGTTTCAACAAATTAAATACAACGACTTCAAATACATAGAGTATGTCCTAAATTTGATGGCAAAAATACAGGGAAGGGTTAAAAAAAAACCCATACCTGCTCCCCTGGCTGTTGAGGATTAGGAGTTGTGGGCTGCTGAGGTTGTTGTGGTGCATACTGAGAAAGTTGCTGCTGCTGCTGCTGCTGCTGCTGCTGCAGGGTGTTAAAAATGAGCGAACCACCAGGAAGCTATTCAAGAATACAAACAGGAATTAAGTCACCAATGTCTGCGTTTATTTTTTACATAAACTATTCTACAAATATTAGTAGAGCTTTTATTATATGCCAGGTCCTCTTTTAGGTGCTGAGGAAAGAGGTGAACTAAAAGCAAAAAAAAAAAAAAGGACTGTAGATAAAGCTTGGTAAGAGTATATACCTAGTACTCATGAGTCCTAGGTGTTACCTGTGCCAATGTACATATCCATTTCACAAAACCTCCAAGAAAACATTCCCTTCCTTGCAGAAAAAATAAGTTGCTTGCCCTTAAAAAGATCTGCTTAGAAATAATTTTCAAAGTGCTACTACTTTGGATCCCAAACTATATTACTTGTTATTATTTGGCCATACTGAGGATTGAACTCAGGGCCTGGTGCTTATAAAGCAGGTGTTCTACCACTTGATGCCTCCAGCCCTTTTCACCTAGGCTAACCTAAGCTTTGATTCTCCTAGAAGTGCTTCCCCATATCATCAGGGATAACAGGTTTGTGCCATCACATCCAGCCACTGGTTGAGATGGAATCTGTGAACCTTTATGCTTCGGCTGGACTTAAACTGTGATTCCCTGATCTCTACCTTCCACATAACTAAGATTATTAATACTCATAACCATAATCTTTCTGCTTCAAGTTAATAGTAAGCTATCCAAAGTACCATCCTATTATTATTTTCTTTTGTGCAGGTCCTAGGGCTTGAACTCAGGGCTTGGGCAATGTCCCTTAGCTTTTTTTGCTTAACATTAGAGCTTTATCACTAGAGCTATAGCTCAGCTTTTAGCTTTTTGGTGGTTAACTGGACATAAAGAGTCTCAAGGACTTTTCTGCCCAGGCTGGCTTCAAACCACAATTCTAAGATCTCAACCTCCTAAGTAGCTAGGATTACAGGCTTGAGCAACCAGCCATCCTATTATTATTATTTTTTTATTTTCCTTCCTTATATATCAATAGAAAAGAGTATTAAATGCATTAGAAAAAATAAAAACAGGCATAGTGAGACATTACTGTAATCCTAGTAGTTGAGAGGCTTAGGAGGAGACAGATCAGGAGTTGGAAGCCAACATGAGTTTAAAAAGGAAAAGAAGATTCTGTCTCAAGAAAATTAAGTTGCGAATAAAGTAATTTTTTTCTTTTCCTTTTCCTTTTTTTTTTTTTGCCAGTTCTAGGGCTTGAATGCAGGGTCTGGGCTCTGTCCCTGAGCTTCTATAGCTCAAGGCTAGCACTCTACCACTTGAGCCACAGCATCACTTCCAGCTTTTTCTGCTTATGTGGTACTCAGGAATCCAACCCAGGGCTTCATGAATACTAGGGATGCATTCTACCACTCAGCCACATTCCCAGCCCAAGTAATTTTTTTCTAGCTGGGCCAAAAAAAAAAATCAAAACCACATGGATTTTAATGTAACATAGGAATTCTGAAACTGGAAAGAAGCATTGGATTTCCTATTTAGGGTGAAGACAATTATCTGCTCTCATTATGAACTTTAAAAAAAATGGGGGGAGTAGTAACTTTGACAGAAGACAGACTTCCTTAATCTCAACACCAAGTAAATGTAGGGAAATAAAATTATCTCAATAACCTTAATACTACTTTTAAATCAACATTATAAAAGGTTTTTCACTCTCTTATGAGTTGTGAGAAATTCGGTGAGGAAAATTTTTCCAGAGAAAAACTCCAAAAGCAGTATGCAGGAAAAGTAGTCTGTCTAAGCCAAAGTCATCTGTAGTCTTGACTGTATTATAGATAAACAGTTTGCAGTAACAGTTTACATACACTGATACTGCATTATGTTTACAAATGTTTTAAGTTTTAGCTCTAAGAAAACTATCCATTTAGTTATATGTGAATACCAAGTTGGCTGAGTTGTATCAATAATCCATAGCTCTGCCATTTCTTTTTTCTTTTTCTTTCTTTCCCTTTTTTTTTTCTTCCAGTCTTGGGACTTGAATTCTGGTCCTGGGCATTGTCTCTGAGCTTGTTTTGCTCACTCTACCACTTGAGCCACACAGCCACTTCTGGCTTTTTCTGTTGGTACAGTACTGAGGAATCAAATCCAGGGCTTCATGCATTCTAGGCAAGCACCCTACCACAAAGCCACATTTCCTATCCGATAATATACTTTCCTTTTTTGTTTTTTTGCTGGTCCTGGGGCTTAAACTCAGGACCTGAGCATTGTTCCTGAGCCTCTTTGTGCTCAAGGCTAGCACTCTTCCACTTGAGCCACATCACCACTTCCGGCTCTGCCATTTCTTATTATCAGATCTTTATATTCAGGTCTACCTAATTTAAGTCCTCTGCAGATTAATTCCATCCATTTTCCAAACAAGTAGTTTAGTATTAGACTCCCAGTATAGAGCTAGAATATTCTAAAATCACTCTGTGTATTAAATTCTCTACCTTACTGTGCTTGCTTGCCAATGGCACACCCTTCTGTGCAAAAGTAAATGCCTTGCTGAGACCCTTCTCCCCCACCCCCCCAAAAAGCCCTCCATCTTTTATCTTTTTTTCTTGCAATGTTAAGGACTAAAACCAAAGCCTTGTGCTCACTGAAACTGAGATACAGGACAGAGTCTCTCTCTTCTCTCTCTATGCATCAACACAATAGTATGTATAAAAAAAGTAAAACTTCATCATTAGATACATATAAATTAATATTTATAATTAAATTACAACTTAATGTTTACTAGGTGCTAAACTAGTTAGGTGCTTATCACTGCATTAAAAAAAAATCATACTCTCAGCAAGGTACAGTGGTACATACCCATAACATTAGAACCCAAGAGGTTAAGGCAGGAAACTCACAAGTGCTAGACTAGCCTGGCTACATAGCAAAAGCCTATACTAAAAAGCCAAACAAACAGAACAGAAAAATACCCTAACTCTTCTCAGAACAAGAACATGAAGCACATATTCTTTACAAAAAAAAACACACAAAAAACCCCCTCCATTTAAGCACAAAATTTATTATAAACATATATATATATATACACATATACATATATGTATATATATACATATATATGTATATGTATAATATATGCTTAATAGAAAATCTGGGAGAGGAATTAAGTTTGTATCTATACCACTATAGTAGGCAAGCATTTGCCTAATGTAAACACTTTCCATTGGAAGAATTAATTCTTCCACACCTTTGAAATATTTGGAACAGATCTCAGAATGTCAATAATGACATGTACAAATATATATTCTTAAAAATTGGAATGCATAATTTTCATCAAAAGCAGTGTTTTGGTTTACCTGGAGTAGGTTTAAAGGCCTGAGATTTGAAGTATTTTTTAAACCAAATGGAACACCTGTTAAATAAAACCCATGGTTACAATGGAACTGCATATAAAAAGAACGTAATACTTTAGTATATACACCATTAGTGTACTTTATCTATAGGTGTGCTTATTTTCTGCACTTCTAAAACATCCTGAAAACCTATTTTCTTAGATATTGATCAATATATATATATAATATATATATAACTACTATTTTAGTTGAAGTGTAGAGTACTAGATGTTCACTGTATTTATAAATTTCAGAAACCAAAACTTTTTTTTCATGATTCTCAGTATTGACAAAGTAACCAAGAACTATGTGGATACCTGAATAAAGCAAAATTATTGTTGTGTTAATACCTTTCAAGTACTAGCATTTACTTACATTTCCTAGTGGTGTACAGTAAGTCATGTAATAATCTCATTTCTAGTGCTGCTGCTTTTTTAAGATAATTTAAGATAATAAAAGATAATAAAAATGTTGAAAAATGTTGAATTTTGTATGAAAGGATCAAATCCAGTCAGGAAGAAACAATGGTCTGTTAATTATGAATTTGCTCCTAACTCAGTAGACAAAATTAAGCCAGAGTGAAGCAAACTTTTTAATTAGTAAGTATTTATTATTAACACTAATTATTAAAGAATGGCTATGGGGGCCACATGAATACTTCTTGCTCTTCCTTCCTCCATCTCCCACCCTTTCTCCAATTTTTAAAATGATTCTTTAAATATGTAAAAATGATCTTGGGAGGCTAAAGTAAAAGGATCATGAATTTAAGGCCACTCTTGGCTACAAAGTGAAACCCTGTCTCATTTTTGAAAACCATAGTATTATTTTCTGGTTAAATCTTTCTTCAATAGAAAGACATTGAACTGTTCCAAAATATTACAACACACTCATTTTAAAAGCATACATTATTCTACAGTTTTAAATATACACGAATAATTATTAGAATAAATCTACTACAAAAGACAGTAGCAAATACTTTTGAATGCTTGTCATTTCTTAGCCACAGTTTAAGTACTTCATCTATATGATCTGTTCTTTTTTTTTGTTGTTGGTACTCAATTGAGCTCAGAGTCCAAGTGCTCTACCATTTGAGCTATGTCCTTCTCTCTATATATACACCTCTAAATCTTAACAACTATGAGACAAATCACTAATATTATCCCCATTTTATTTATAAAGAAGACACAACACAAAGATAACTTTTACAAAATTATGAACAGTGAGTTGTCTAACATGAATTCAAATGAAGGTGGTATGCTTCTAGAATTTAGACCTTTAACTGCCTCTCTTACACAAAATACACTTTGGAACTACATTTATTTTTCCTGGAACATGACCACATTGGTAGCAATAAGGCATTTTATTATATGTTTTGAAAAGAGAATATAACATGTACAAACTTAAATATTTATTAATAAGATTCTTCATGAAAGCTGATGATATGCCATGTGGTTTAATTAAAAAACTCAGAATTTCCAAGGCTTTTGAAATGAGATATTGGTGGTATGACACTTTACAAATTAGTAACATTAAATGTCTTTAGAAATATCCTTAATGTTTTTACTTCAGCATGTATTTTCATCTTGTTATAGGTTATTATTTGCAATATTCTAACCTGTTTGAGAAGCTGCCTGCATTGCACTGGGCAATGCATTTGGTAGCAGACCTCCTGAGGGTAGAAGGCCACTCAGGTTTATTCCTGCAGGAGTTATGGCACCAGTGTTACAGCCCAGCATGGGGTTTGAACCACTCATCAAAGCCTGTGCTCCACTGCATGAGAATGAGACAAAGCGTTAAAACTGTACTGTAAAAAACAAACAAACAAACCAGCTACATAGTTTAAAAAACAAACTTCAAAACAATATCAATTAATTTGTGTCTTAAAAATTATATCTAGCCTCAGTTTCACTTTAATGACTGAAAGTGACCAGGACAACTATAGACAAGTACACATCAATGTTTAATTGGAAAAGTAAAGCACTAACCAAAGGATTAAAAGATGGTAAAAGAATAAACAGGAAAATCTACTCTGCTGTCAATACAAAGCATTTTCTTGCAGGTAATACATCATTACTAACATTAAAATATACATGTGAGGCTGGTTTTGCCCATATCTAACCTGTTTTCTTCAAGTTTGACTGCTGCATAATTTAGTCTTAATCTCATAAGTGACTATCTTAAAAAAATAAAATAAAGCCAGCACATCACTGCAAACTTACCAAACAGAGCTCACTACATTGATGAAGTTAAGTCCAGCAGAGTTTGCCATGACCTGGGTGGCTGTGGTCCCTGTAGTTATAGATGTTACCATGGTGGAAAGAGGAATGGTTGTTACAGGCATTGCCTGGCTCAGAGACCTTTGCTGCTGAGCAAACTGAGTTAACAAAGTGGGCTGAGGGGTGAAGCCTGAATCTTGGGGAGTAAGGGTGGCTGAAGGGGTACTAGGAGTTGAGCTCTGGGCATCAGAAGGGTGTGGGGTCGATGAAGGGGTTGGTGTAGGAGTAGATGGCTTAGGAGTTCCAGATCCTGCTCATTGAGAAAAATAAAAATTGCTAGTTTGTTATAAATGGCCAGTCCTTTTTTAAAATAAGGTTAATGGAATCTTACTTAGCACTGACAATTTGTTCCAGCTTTTTTTTTTTAAAGCAGTTAACTGCAAGTGTTAATTTCTACACATGATTCATGAGTGTTGATACACTCAATTACAATTAAGGATGCAGTATATCAACTACAACTCCCATCAGAAGATGCTGTTACAGTGACAAATATACATTTGTATTCTACCACAAGACCCATTTAAAAGATAGTTTCCTACATGCTGCCTTTGGCCTAAAAAGTTCAAAAGGAATTCAAATTACGTTTTGTATTTACAATTTCACTAATTCAAGACTTCTTTTAAAAATACTGCATAACAATCTGAGATAAACTGTGAACATATTTAATAAGTTATATATGGTTAACATTCATATTTGGCACCTACATATACATGTTTAATTCCTAACACATCAAGTTTATCCTGATAAATTTACAAAGAACAGTAATAAAGCAATTATTTGATAGATAATACTGCATCTTTAACAGTAACTGTGTACTTCTGCTTAAATGTAGAATGTATAGAAAATCTGTTGTGAATGAAGTATGCACAGTTTATCAATTTTTTAAAAAACAAAAACAAAAAATAAAAACCAAAAAAGTAAAACCAAAGCTCTTGAGGTGTTTTCTTTTTTAGCTTTCATGTCCTGCAGAAAGAAAGGAAAGAAATGTGAATGTCCAGAAGCTGTCACTCAACCCTTACTTAAAAGTAACAACTGTGTTCAGTAGATGACCATAATCTATACCCACAACGTAAGAAGTGTGAATAAGACTTTCATCAGAAAATTTATATTTTTCTTTGTGCAAAACAAGAAGGCAGAAAAATTACACCTTTTGAGCTATCGAGATGAAGATGTTTTTATCTAATGCGAAAACTATCCTATCACTGTGCAGTGTACTAAAACTTTCAGCACACATTATCTATAAAAAAATCTTAAAAACTAGATTTTTTTCCCCAAACTGTAACTTAAAATATTCAGATATTTGTTACTGTGAAGAAATTCTCCCGAACAAAATCTAGCATTCTTACAGAACTTCTTGATGTTAAAAAAAATGCATCCCGTAGTAAAAAATCACATTTTATTATCTTCAGAGTAATGCTTTATGATCATCACATTTTAGTAACTGACAACTTATTAAAAAGTGTAGAAGTGTTTTGGAGATACTGCTTTCTGGTTGACTGTATCACCACCTTGGAAATTAGCTGGCCTCTTACATATACAAATAAAAAATCTGAATCAGCAGTTCTTTGAGCACTTTTTTTTCATACCAGTCACACAATTCATAAAATACAAAGCAACCTATGGTACAATAAAATAAAAATAGTTTGGAATCTTATTACAAGAGTAACTGCAAGATTATTTTTTAAAGGAGATGTATAGGTTGCAAGTCTAAAAGGAAGGTATACACAAAGTGCATACATAGATAGAGAAAAACATACAATTACAATAAGCACATAATACATACATAAATAAGAACTGCTCGAAACCACTCACAACTTACATATTCTGGGTAAAGAGTACATTGAGCACATTCAGATTTCACTATTCACAGGTCGAAAAGCTGTCTTAAACACTAATACAGAAGCTTATGACAATTTTAATGAAGAATTTAAGTTATAACTTACTTTGTGATGAGCTGGCAGGTGATAGGGCAGCTGGAGAAAGCATACTAACTTGATTGAGATCTACAGATGACTTTCGAGAAAGACTTGGTGGCTTAGAAGATGGAGGAGGAGTTGGAGATTTAAGAAAGCTGCTGGCCTGTTGGGGTGTAAAATAGTTACCTAGGAAAAGAATATGAAAATGATTCACGGACTCAAGTTCAAAATTCGGTAAATTGTAGGAAAAAAATGAGTAAAACTTCAAAAAAGAGATTGACTGTATGACAATTCTTACTCTACATTATTGAACATTAGGCATTTTAATACCTGAGGAACTACTTCCTGAGCTTGTAGGAAGTTTGATGGGTGGAGGTCGATGCTTTATCCCCTTCCCCAAAACAGAAGATTGAACTGACAGGGTCTCAGACTGCTAAAAGAGTGATAGCAAACATACTTGTTAAAACTGAAATCAATAATACTACATAGAAACAACCTATCACTACAAAGTATTGTTAGTGGTCGGTTATAGACTGAATAGTCTAAATATAACAAATAATTTCACTGGGACCTATGAAATACTTAACACTCAAAGGATGAGGGAAAGAATTTTGAATAGGAGAGAATCGGAGTGAAAGGAGCCAAAGACTTCAAAGACAAAGCTTCTACCTTCTTCTACCTATCATTTCCTAGAAAGTAACGCTTGAATCCAGATGACTAGTACACAGATATTTACTCTTTTCTATCATAAAAAGATAAATAGTAAAGTTTAAAGTAAAAACCAAAATTAAAGATTCTCTCTACATGTCAAAATACGATCCTTAACATTTTTTAAAAAAATAAGGTACAAAAACTATACATACTTCCCCTTCTTTCCCTGGAGAAGGCTGACTCAGATTGGCTGAACCACTAGAGCTGTGCGACATCTTGACTGGACATTTAGCTTCATTCTGGACCAATTCTTGGTACTGATTAACTATCCTGAAGTATTATGGAAAACAAGTAAGGAACAGTTAACCTCATTTTATATCATTTGAACTCATGGCCTTGAACTTTCCAGGAGGTGCATAATCACTTGAGCTATACTCGTAGCCTTCATTTTTTTTTTTTTTTGTGCCAGTCCTCAGGTCAGGGTGCTGCTGCTGAGCTATTTTGCTCAAAGATATTGCTCTACCAATTGAGTCAGAGCTCTACTTCTGGCTTTTTGATGGTTAACGAAATAGAGTGTCAAGGGCTTTCCTGCTGGATTTGAACTGTAATCCTCCTGCCTCCTTTAGTAGCCAGAATTCTAGGTGTGAGCTACTGATAAACTTCATAAATATTTTTATTCAAAACAAAACTGTAAATGGTTTTATAATTCTATGAAAAACCATCCTTACAGTATTAAAATGCCCCCCAAATACAATTCAGTTCCCCTAAATCTCACCCTATGAAAATGGTATTTATAGTTTTTTATACTATATTCTTTTCTGGAATTAACTGGATTTTAAAGTTGAAAGGGATTTAAGATCTAATTTTACTTCTGAGGTTAGCATATTAAATAATTTCATGTTCAAGCAGTCAAGTGCATCATGAAAATCAAAGTATATGGAAGGGGTGACATTGTAGTAGGGGTTCGAATTCAGGGCCTGGACCCTGTCCCTGAGCTCTTTTTGCTCAAGGTTAGCACCCGACCACTTTGAGCCATAGTGCCACTTCTGGTTTTTGAGTAATTAATTGGGGATAAGAATTTCTTAATGATTTTTCTGCCTGGGCTGGCTTCAAACCCTGATCCTCAGATCTCAGCCTCCTTGAGTAGTACAGGCATGAGTCACCGGCACTCAGCCAGCAATATACTTTTTATCTGACTTAGATGCATTTAAAATTTTTTTTTTTTACCTCTCAGCATCAGTCTTTGACCCAATAATGAACCTAAAATGTTAGAGAGAGAAAAAAACTATTAGATAAGAGTGTTTGAAGAAGCCCTGGGATTAAGTGTTTGAATAAGCCCTGGGATTACTTCTGAAGAAATTCCAAGTATTACAAGTATTATTCACTTTGACAAGTGTAGGCAATATTACTAAATCACTAAATTACTATAGCTTTTGCTTTCCTTTATTTTAATCTTTGAACTTGCAGGTTATTCTTACTGTTGTACTACATACAGAACTTAAAATATTATTTTGTACAGAGAATACATGAAAGAAGTATCTTTACCAAAGAGTCCGACTTTATGACTCTTAACAGATTATAATTATTAAAATAATCTTAATGGATTATTTATATTGTAATTACCAATTTGAATGATCATCTGTGGAGGAGCTGAAATATAAAATGTAAAAAAATATTTGGTTAATGTAGCTTAAACTTTTAACTTTACACTTATTAAAATATAGAAGAATGACTAAAAGATAACAAATCAGGCAACATTTCTAAACAATTCCTGGATAAGGTAAACAACTCAATTCTCTTCTTGGCAAGAAAAATAATCTGTTGGTATTATGGAGAATATATACTTTGTGTTCCAGAGAAGATAATAAATTTAAAATAAGCCAATATACTTTTAATGGGAAGATTTTCAGTACAGGTAATATTAAACATGGGTATTTTTAACATTAAGTATATTAAATATTTAGTACATTTAATTTTTTAACATTAAATATATTTCATAAAAATAAAAACGTTAAATAGACTAATATAGGTAATCAGAATATCGGGAATTTGTGTTGTGTTAGCTGAGGATTTTTGTGCTGGAGCTTGAACTCAAGGCCTAAGCACTGTCCTGAGGTCTATTGCTCAAGGCTAGTGCTCTACCATTTATGCCACAGATCCACTTCTGGTTTTTTTGTTTTTGGTAATTAATTGGAGATAAGAGTCTGATGGACTTTTTCTGCCTGGGCTGGCTCAGATTTCTGCCTCCTGAGTAGCTAGGGTTATAGGCAGGAGCCACTAATGTCTGGATAAAGAGTTTGTTTCTTACAGGTACTATGTACTTGCTCTTAAAATCTACGTTTTCTACTCTAATTTGTATTAGTATTAATAAATTAACATAGATCTGGCCTCGTTTTTTACTGCTGAGCTCTTTTTTTAAGTTTTCTTCTTTCCAAAACAATATTAACGTCTAAAGTAAAAGTAACTAGAGGTACCCTGTACTAAATGTGTGTAATATATACATTTCGGAAAGCAAATTATATAAACTGTCAATACCTAAACATACCAAAGTATCCTTCAAAGCAAGTATAAAAACAAATCATGGGGCTTCTAAAAAATGTAATTATTATCTTAAATCTCAGACAACATGGTAACTATGACTTAAATTTACTCATCTACTGTCAAATGTAACTGTCTACTTAACCAACAAGAGTCCCCAAGGGGACATTTTTATTCACTAATGAATAAAAATTAGTAGTTTAAAATAGTAGTTTAAATAAATTCTGGATGCCTGAGTTTGTCAATAAAATGTATCAAACAGAACTCACTGGGATGGAGACATCTGGCTGTCATTTTCTTCATCTGCTTTACATGGCTGTATTTTACCATAGTAAAGTGGATCACCAAGTGACTGCAAGATGGTCAGCTTTGTTTTTTGATACTGATTACCAGTTTCACATTCAAATAAGTAATCATCTCTTATATCCTGAAAAAGATAAAGCATCTCAAAAAAATTCTCAAGTAAGTAATCAGAATTAGCAAAAATCAGGAATAAGTGAAACATTAACTTATGTCTGGCAATAGGAAAATAAGCTGCCATTCATAGACTACAGAAATGTTTAAGACTTAGTAAATATAGAACTCAGATGGTTCTTGTACCAGGGAATGAACTCAAGGATACCACTGAACAATTCTGCTAGCCCTTTCTACTACTGGTTACTGTTGAGATACGGTCACATTTTATGCTTTGGCTGACTTGAACTATGATCCTCCTTACTTGTACTTCTCTTGTGTTGCTGGGGATGACAGCACAAACTGCTGCACCCAGCTACTGTACTTTCCCCATAGCTGGAAAAACAGGTGTGCATCACTACCTACTCACTGACTGAGATGCAATCTTGAGAACTGTTTTTTTTGTTAAACCTGGCTTAGCCTCAAATCTCCATCCCCGGATTTCTGTTTCCCTGGTAGCTAGGACTACAAACTTGAGACACCATATCCAGCAGGATGTTTCTTTTTCTTTTTAGAAAAAACAAAACAAAGCATTAATGTCTACTATGAAGTATGGATATACCATTTAATGATAGTAAATCATTTAAACACTTACTGAACACAGTTAGCAGCACTAAACAAGTAGTGCCTCATGCAATCCTTACCACATCCCAATGGTGGGCACTATCTCCATATTACAGGTAAAGGATTAAGTGACTTGTCTGGGGTCCTGTAGCCTGTAATCCAAACCCTCATGTTGTTCTACCCCTTCCATGTCTCCAGTGCTGTATAGGATTCTTTTTTTCATACTACTTTGGGAATGAGAGTGCCAATGGAATATTAAACTTGAGAGTAATATGGTGGGATTTCATACACTTGACATATACATCACATATATTACATGACTTTCAATATAAAACTTTTGAAAGTCAATCTATTTTTTTATTAGTCTTGCCATTCATATAAAATATCCTATATAGAAAACATGTCATTATTTTGTCTCCAGGGTTCATCTAATTTAATATATTATGCCAAATTTTGTCTAAGTTACTGTAGTAATAATAGAGTATTTTCATTGAGACATCCTTGTAAGAATGTCCTAGTTTAATACAAAAAACAAATGTAGTTCTTTTCTAAGACAAGGCTTCCCTATGTGGCCCAGACAGGACTTAGATTAGGTGTGTACAAGGAACAACTAATGAAGTTAAAATTACTCTATTTGTTAACTTTGAGGCAAAATAATTATTCCTTCTAAGAATTCACTACATCTTCAAGAATTTTTTTTAATCCTACATTAAAAGCATTGTATTTTTAATTAAAAAAACTGCAAACCCATATTAGAAATGGAGAATGGGAAATGATCACTTACATGGGCTGGCCAAATTGTTGGTTGTGAGTCATCAGATTTGATGGACTTTTCCACTTTTGCATATTTCTCCACCTAAATAGGCCAAGACACCAGATAAAATGGAATCAGTATACTGACTAGAGAAGAATTGAAGTAGCTGAAGAATATATAGCATAGCTATTAACCCCCAAATCCTTGTATCACTAATGTTAGCAACTCTTGTGCTTAAGTAATTTAAAATTTACCTGCTATGTAAGACAATCTGTCAATTAAGACAAGTTTAATAATAAAAAATAAAATTAGCATCTGACTGTATACTAAATAGTTGCTTTTTCTGGACAGTGCCCTTTCTCATATTATAAACTGACACCATGTTCTTAAGAGACTTTCCTTCAGGGAAACTCAAACGTCAGAGATAATGGCAGGATTCTTAATAGAACAGAAGTTGTCATCTATTAGTGGTAACAAAGTTGGGAAGAGAATATAGAAGAGATAGTATTAAAGTTGATTCAAATTTTGAAATCTTTGTCATTTAGGCCATTTATTTTGTAGTATGTCTAAGGAATGTGTGCAAATGAAATGTTGTCACGTGCTTGGTAGCAATGATTTTTAAGAGTAGGGAAAGTATATAGTTCAGTGGCAAGGAGTCTGTGCTTCACCACACAAGGCCCTGGCTTCAAACCCTAGATCAAAACAAAATGAAGCAAAAGGAATCCAACCAACAAACCCAAAACAACAGAAATTTAGACTCACTTGAGCACCTGTTAAAAGAACATTTTTAAAATTTATTATTATTTTTTAATGTCCCTCTGCTAGAAACCCTTATGTAGGTCTGAACTGGGGATTGAAATTTGTATGTTTATTCTATGGTAATCTTCTGACTGAACTAAGTTGATGGATTATTTTATTTTTATTTTTTAGTCAGTCATGGGGCTTGAACTCGGCCTGAGTGCTGTCCCTCACCTTTTCAGCTCAAGGCTAGCGCTCTACCACCTAAGCCACAGTGCCACTTCTGGTTTTCTGGTAGTGTATTGGAGATAAGAGTCTCATGGACTTTCTTGCCTGGGCTGGCTTTCAACTGTGATCCTCAGATCTCCACCTCCTGAGTCGCTAGGATTACAGGTGTGAGCCACCCGTGCTTGGCTAGCTGGGAAATTATTATTAGGGCTTTGCTACTTAAATTCTGGTTCTTGGGCCTAGCACCACTTGTAAGCTTGTGAAAATAGCAGCCCAGATTTGCTGAATGGGAATTTACAATTTAATAAGCTTTCTAGGCAACTCATTCAAGTATTAACATTTCGGAAGAACTGCTTTAGATATTTACCTTGCCCTCCTTCTTACAATTTACCCACAACATCTATTCTTATGCTATGTTCCCTTAGGAGCATATAAGTTTCAAAATGATAATATGACTTACTTCTCCAAGTTGTAGATAGTCTATTTATACTTTTGGTTTTGTGCTTTGCAGAATTATCTTTAAACTTAAAACTTGCTGTTTGCATGCAAAAAAATATGTAACAACAATTATAAAGAACTGGATGAACTATAAACCAGAATTCAGAGAACATCATGAAAATATAAGATCTCTCATCAAAATGCCTTTATATCTAATCATTTATAATTATGTATATTTGAGATTAGAATAAAATTAAGGTTCCTAGTGGTGGTCATTATTCCAATATTAATCTTTAACCAGTTTGAAGAAAAAAGCAAGTAAGAAAATTATGAAGAAAAATTACGGAAAAATCCAGTAGCAGGCTAGTTATATTACATAATGAACATCACATTTTTCTAATTTTCAAAATATTTCATTATGCTGCTCTAAACTCTGAACTCTATTCAAATGTTATGGCCTTATATAGCAATGGAAAAATGTACTGGTACTTAAAACAGGAAGTTGATATTCTTAAAAAATTGTTTTCAAGAGGAGATTCTTTTCTCAAAGTACCAGCTGATGGTAAAATTAAAAACTGTCTATTAAAAAAAAAAGAGAATTTCATGAATTGACTTACTTCTACTTCAGATGGCATGACCAAATTACAGGGACTACGCTTCCACATATCTACACACTGAAAAATAAAAAAGCAGTGTAATTACACCAAAACATTCAAAATAAGACAAACCTTCTGACACACTTAAGCTTTCTTTAAATTATGAACAATACATACTTACATTGCCTGCTTTAGAGATTTTGAGGTCATAATGCTGACCTGCTTTTCTTTCCTTTTTTTTCTGTAAGAAATCAAGCAATTTCAGCTGAGGTGGAGGGGGACAGTGAGAGAGATCCTGCTGCCGATTCAGGGAGGACCTGGAGTACCTCTTGAAACACCTGCAATAGTAAAAATCAGCAAAGCTAACTGACTTATAATATATATGTTTAAACTAGTAAATATTAAATATGTAATTAAATCACAAATATTTATAGAACACTACCACATGCCAAGCAATGTCCTAGGCACAGGTGAAGTGAAAATTAATATGTCAGACCAAATTCCCATTACCATGAAACTGATAGCCCAGAGTGGAAACAATCATAAGTAAACAGATAAGATAATTAAATTCAGAGTTCAGAAAATACTATGCAATAGAGGAGAAAATCCAGTTCCATGATGAGTAAGTGAAAGGGAGGACTACATGAGAAAAGGGAGGGAAGAAAAGGACTGAAAAAAAATAAGTGAGCGAAGACATGAATAGTAAGAAATTAGCTATAGGAAGTTAGGGGAGAGGAAACTTGTTTTTGATCTAGGCATGTAAGAAGCTAAAAGTCAGCAGGACATCTGAACAAATAAAAATAGGTCCACTTGAAAACTGATATATCACTAGCTGCACAGTGTTACATACCTATAATCCAAGCAGTTTAGAGGCTGAAAAGACCAAGAACTCAACGCCAGTTTAAGCTACGTAGTAAGACTATTTCAAAAAACTAAGAGATAGGTATGAAGTACTTACTAGCATTTGCAAGTCACTGGTTTTCACCTCTAGCACCATCAAAAGGAAAAACACTACAATGTTCTATGCTTACTATGCTTAAACAGGATTTTTATCCTACATAAGTAGATTTGTATCATAAAATTTGAGAATGCAGCTAATGAAATGAGAAAGAATGAAAAGTGCCCACTTTTTTTCTGGTGCCAGTTCTGGGGTTAGAACTCAAAGCCTGGGTGCTCAAGGTTAGCACTCTACCACTTGAACCATAGTTCTACTTCAGCTCTTTGCTGGTTAATTAGAGATAAGAGTATAATAGATTAGGCTTATGATAAAATATATAAATTTATATACATATATTTATATATATATAAAGGAAATATATATATATATATATATATATATATATATATATATATATATAAACGAAATGTACCCAAAACCTGATTCACATAATTGCAATCCCTCTGTACATTACTTTTTAATAACAATAAACTAATTTTTTAAAAAAAGACCATAATAGACTTCCTGGTCTGGCAACAAACCTTGATCCTCAGATCTCAGCCTCCTGAGCAGCTAGGATTTATAGGTATGAGCTACCAGCACCCTGCTTGGTGCCCACTTTAGAGCTGCAGCTCCAGAAAGCAATGAAGTTATTCCTTCTGTTGATATTTTGTCTTGATCTCTTTTCAGTTTCTTTACTGTTTTGTTGAAACAGTACTTTAAAATATTATAGAAAAATTCATTGCTTCACTAGACTGGAAAGAACATTAAAGAATCATAATGATAAAAATCTTATTTTTTAAAGCTCTCTAAGTTTTAAAATATCTCCAATTAAGAGTATTTATACTTGGGCTGGGAAGGTGGCTCAGTGGTAGAGAGCTTGCCTTGCATGCATGAGGCCCTGGGTTCGATTCCTCAGCACCACATAAGCAGAAAAAGAAGCTGGAAGTGGCGCTGTGGCTCAAGTGGTAGAGTGCTAGCCTTGAGCTGAAGAGCTGAGGGACAGCACCCAGGCCCAGAGTTCAGGCCCACAACTGGACACCCCTCCCTCACCCCCCTACAAAAAAAAAAGTAAACTCAAGGAAAATATACAATAAATAGAATTTAGAGGTACTTATGATACAAGTATGAGCAATTACCGTTTCATTGGACGAGTATTCATCTTCTGCCTGTTATAGAGAAGTCTGTTTGCAGTGCAGGCTACTGCTACAGAAGGATCAAGACACAGTGGTTCAGCTGTAGCCAGAATCAGTTGGCTCTCAAGCAACAGCTTGTCTTCCTGAAATGTAAAAGAGCATATATATCAGACATAGGATTTTTAAAGAGTAATCATACATGTCGAGTATATATTCCCTGAAACTACTATGCTAAACACTATAGTAAAATGCAGTAAATTCTAGCTTCCAACATCAGCGTGTAAAATTCAGAAACTTCACAATATCAAGAAAATTCTAATGGGAATCTAGTAATTTGTACTAGATTTGTAATTTGTATATTGTATTATATTGTGTATTGTATTTTGTAAGTTGTATATTGAATTCACAAACTGCTTTGTTAAATGACAACTTTTTTTTTTTTTTTTTGGTTCTAAGCTTGAACTCTGGGCCTGGGTGCTGTCCCTGAGCTCCTTTTGCACTCAATCACTTGAGCTACAGCATCATTTTCACCTTTTGTGATTAATTGGACATAGGAGTCTCACATATTTTCCTGCCCCAGATGGCTTTGAATCATGATCCTCAGATCATGATTTCTGAGTAGCTAGGATTACATGTGTGAGCTTGGTTGCCTAGCTCTGGCAACTCCTTTGTATATCTATTTAAAGATAATAATAATAAAAAAATTAAAACTAAATCCCCAAACCAAAAAACTAACCTGGGTCCATTTATGGTTATCACTTGTTATTGAATGAACATCACAGATTAAAGTCTGGAATAAAATTTTAAAAATTAATGCATACTCATATGAACATTTGGAAACATTAACGAACGAAAATTCCACTAAAAAAGAAAATTAAACATTCCATACCTGCATCGTTGGTCGTAAGAGAATGTGCCTGCTCTGGTAACCAGGAGACTTCATATTACTCGACTGCCTATAGTCACGTATTTCTGCTATGACGCACCCACAGTGAAAAATATTAACCTGTTTTTGAGGAAAAACATTTATGTTTATGTCATTTTTCAAAAGCCTAAAAAGTGAAATTTATATTGAAAATTTCATTTTTTTTTGGGGTCCGGTCGTGGGGCCTGAACTCTGGGCCTGGGCGCTATCCCTCAGCTCTTCAGCTCAAGGCTAGCGCTCTACCACTTGTGAGCCATATTGTCACTTCTGGCTTTTTTTTTTCCTGCTTATGTGCTGCTGAGGAATCGAACTCAGGGCCTCATGCATGCAAGGCAAGCGCTCTACCACCGAGCCATGTTCCCAGCCCATATTTCACATTCTTAAACTTTTTCCTTAGCAAAGTTCCCAACATCACTGGAGTTAAGTCAAGGAAGTAAGGAAAAAGCAAAGAATAAGGCAATGATTGCCAAAGCTGGCTATTACAAAGTACAGACATAAAGGCCAGTTTCTAGCCCCTACCTTAAAAACGCTTCACAAAAAAGAAAAGTTCCCCTTCCTTCTTTCTTTTCCATGTGTGTCTATGTGCCAGTACTGAGGCTTGAACACAGGGCCTGGGTGCTGTCCCTTAGCTTTTTCATTCAAGGCTAGCATTCTACCATCTGAGCCAGAGCTATACTTCTGAAATTTTACTGCATAACTGGAGATAGAGTCTCACAGACTTTTTCTGCCTTAGCTGGTTTTGAATCCTATTTGATTCTCCTATCTCTGCCTCTTTTTTTTTTTTTCCCCTAGTCCTGGGGCTTGAACTCAGGGTCTGGGCACTGTCTCTGAGCTTCTTTTGCTCAAGGCTTAAGCTACAGTGCCACTGCCGGCTTTTTATGTTTATGTGGTACTAAGGAATTGAAGCCAGAGCTTCATTCATGCTAGGCCAACACTCTACCACTGAGCCACATTCCCAACTCAGTATCTCTGCCTCTTGAGTGCTGAGATTAAAGGTATGCCCTACTACACCTAGTTTTCCTTCATAAAGGGAGATTTCAATTGATAACCTAATTCCTCTAATAACATTTGAAGAACTGAATAACTTGTACATTTTGCTGCAGTACATAGGTTAAAGTATTCCACAATAAACCATTTTTAAAATAGCAATGCAAAAGGTGCCAGGCATGGTAGTATATGACTTGTTATAGGAATAGGGGGGTGGAGGCAGGAGGTTCAAGGCCTTGTTAGTTCAGGGCCTGGTTGGGCAATATAACAAAACCCTGTTCATGTCTCAGAAAAGATTAAATGTAATTTATCAAATACCAAAGTTATTTGTTTCTAGGAATATATATATACACATACATATATATTAGTGGCATAACAATATATCATATATATATATAACAAATTTAAAGACTATTTTAATTTATGTGTTTGAGATGTTTCTTGATATTTTGAAATTCCTAGGCTCAGGATATCCTCTTGCCTCAAGCTTCTGGGCAGGTGGAGCTACAGGCACATACCACTGTGCGAGGCAGGAACTGTTTTCTAAAAATATTTTGTATATTTCAATTATGTTAAAATATATTTATATTGACATTTCTTTGTAGGCAGGACACTAGAAAGATGTTTATACCTGAGATTTTTCTAGAAGATCAACTAGAATAGGAGGTAATTCTTCTGCATCTAAGTATTCAAGCAACTCTCCTTCTTCATAAGGTAGTCGAATGGTCTCAGAATCTTAATTTTTAAAACAGAAAGTTTATGGCAATGTTTAGGAAAACCAAAAAGTTTAGGTACATAATCTAAATCAAAAACAGTTTTTAAAGAAAAAAATAAAATGGGCTTTTCTAATGTCCTTCTTTACTTAAGCCATATTACTGAAAGACTTCTTAAAAATAAGCATTTTAGACCAGAAAGGGAAAAGCAGCCTAATATATTATGGCAACACATCTGACATAACATTACACTTCAAATCACAGCCATCAGTTATCAGAACATAAAACTAATGATTTACTGCACATTAATTAATCACATCTGGAAGATAGATAAGATGGTACTTCATCTAAAAATGTTTACTCTCAGAACAAAATTCTGTTGGTGTTATACAATTATTAACAGAAAAATTCCTAAGTGAACTCATTGTAGAACTCTTATGGTTATCACATCAATGTTTTAGATCACTGTAGAGAAATCTAGGAGTATACACAAGGATCTTTTCAGAAATAAGAGAAATATTTTAATATATAAAAAATTATTAAAGGTTCCAGACTCAAAATACAAAATGCAGCCAGGTACTGGTAGCTCATGTCTGTAATCCTAGCTACTCAGGAGGCTAAGATCTGAGGATCATGGTCAAAGCCAGTATGGGCTTATCTCCAATTAACTACTGGAAAGCTGGAAGTGGTGTTGTGGCTCAAGTGGTAGAGCGCTTGTCTGGAATTGAAGAACAGAGGGACAGTGTGGAGGGGCCCAGAGTTCAAGAACCACAACCAACCAAAAAAAAAAAATTCAAAATGCAGTACATCTGAAAGTTTCTTATGGTATCTTTGAATACAAGCAGCAATAAGCATAGTGAACAAAATTTGACAACTATTTAAAAATCATGTCTTTTTTAAGCTGACCTAAAAGACATATGAATTAGAATACTTTCCAAATACCTGTTCAAGAAGGATAATCATACATACTAAAACAATTTCAAACATTCTAGCAAAAGTCATAAGGAGAAAAACTGAGGATGAGTCTCCTTTTATTCCTAAATCAACACCGAGTAGGTTAAAAAACTAATTTGTACAGGAACATACCCTGCTCCTGGCAGTTATTATGTATACTGTAGAGGTCTTACCTGATCCATTTTTTCCCCTGAGCATCAGAGAATATCCCTCATTTCCTGGGTAGAGATTGACCACCAAACAGGACAATGTTTCTTGCATAACAAGCTTTTCTAACAAGTTCACATTTCTTCTTAATTTCTGCTTTAAAAAGAGGCAGAGCTCATGAAAATAATCCAATGTAACCTTGAAAATGCTACAATTTCACAACAAGATCTGAATCCATCTATCAGCATTCGTTCTATATTGTAATCTCGAAGAAGATTATGTAATACATTAAAGTATTATAAGGCAGCAACCTAAACTTAATTTTTATGTAATACTATGGTCAATGTAGATTAACATCAAAATTAAAATAGGAAATCCTTAAAGCAATAAAAATACTAAATACCTAAGGCAGAAAGCAAAAATACTTTTAAAAGCTGTCAAATGTAAATATGTAAAATACATGTAAAAGTACGTTAATGAAGAATTGTAGCTCTATGGTGGCAAATGCACATTTCTTCAATATTTCCAGCCTACAGTGGCTCTAAATAGGCTTAAAAAAAGACTATTAACTGAGATATTGAGTCTAAAAATATCAGGTTGATAAAAGGAAGCAATAAGTAATTTAGATAATTTTCTGTAAATTCAGTATATAATAGCTTTTTAGGAACCATCTTAAAGGTCCATCAGGAAATTAAATGTCCATAAATCAAAATACATAATTTAAAAATGTATATAAAAGTAGCAATTCCTTTATATTCTTTTAACACTATTTTTCAATTATATTTTTAGGGCCCAGACTGGAACTTGAACTTGGTACTCATTGGTTGGCACTCTACTAAATGAGCCACCCTTCAAACCCCTCCTTTTTTAAAAACAAAAAAACACAACTCCCTTCCCCAAATTTCCTAGATTTTACTTGGAAAGATGTTTGAGTCAAGAATATTTTATGCAAGACCTGAAATAAACCAACACTGTTTTTTGTACCTTATACAATATTACGATACGTTATATTTAACATGTTAAAATTGAACACAGAAATGATAAATTCTTCATCTGTCATTGCCATTGAAAATTAAAAAAAAATCACAACCTTTTAGCTACTTTAATGTAAAAAACAAAACAAATCACAATAAAACAAAAAAACATAGCCAGTAGCATAGGTTTGTAACCCTGAGCACTGGGAGGCTGAGGTAGGAGGATCAGGAACAAAATTTGAGGCCAGCCTGGTTTACCTAGTGGAAAATGTCTGGAAAAAAAAATTAAACAAATTCTAAAATTTCAGTGCAGGAAAAAATGTTTCCAGAATTCTGACTCAAGACAAAATTAGATAAATTCAGAATATGTGTACTGCTTCAAGAAAACAAGTTGTGGCTGGAGGAGAATGATGGAAGAAGTGACTGATCAAGATGCATTGTGCTCATAAATGGACACGTTGAATTGATATCCCTTTAACTATTGTGAGTGAGTATGTGTGTGTGTGTGTGTGTGTATGGTGTGTGTATATGTGTGTGTGGGGGGAGGAGTGAGAGTAAGAGAGAGAAAAAGAGAAAGCAAGCAAGCAAGTTGGTTCTTACTGAGTTCACTCCTGTTAGAGCAGAGGTTGGAGCCTTTAAAGGGTCAGACAGTATAAAATGCTGTGGGCCACATGTGCTGTGTTTATAACTTCTATACTTGAATGAAATATTTGGCAGGTGGGCAGTTTAAAATCTTTATGATGGAAGAGTCTCACCTATCCTAGTTGTGTCTGTGAGACAATGGATAGGGCATTATATGGATTTTTGAAACAGTTTCCTGAGTATATACACATTTATATGCTAAAAATTTAATGCAGAAATCATACTGTAAGATTTACAAAATTCTTCTTCTTTTTTTTAATGTAAAGACACTAGAATTACAAGTTTTTTTTTTTTCTTTCCTGGTCCTGGGTCTTGAACTCTGGGCCTGGGTGCTATCCCTGAGCTTCTTTGGCTCAAGCCATAACCCTCAGATCTCAGGCTCCTAAATAGCTAGGATTTCAGGTATGAGCTATCAGCACCTGGCCAAATTACACTATTTTTTGCCTAAATTAATGACAAAAGAATCTCATAGAACCCTTAAGGTCCCAGCCATGAATTTATTTTGAGATCAAATTTACTTTTTATTGCCACACTTGAATTTCCTGTAGGTCCTGTAAAATCTTTTACTTTCCAGTCAAAACACCATGAGTTATTTTACTTGTATCTTAAGCTTACAAGTAACTTTGCTCACAACTTTCTAGTAAGATATTCTGTTACTCAGTGAACACCATTCCTTTACTCCTACCTAGCAAGTTAGTGGTACCTAATGCCACATTTAAGACCTGGCACAGGATCTGGACCAACTGAAGAACTAACCAGAGTCTGAGAAAAAAAAAAATGTTAGTTCATGTACAAAGATATAAACCATTAGTTGCTTGAAATAACTCCTATCAAATTTTTCTTTTACTATATATTTTCAAAAAGCTACAATACGATAAAAAAATTATACTTACCTTAACCTCTGGTTCTTTTTCACATTCTTCAACATACAAGTCATAAAGTTTTTGAAATATAGATTTTCTAAAAAAAAAGTAAACATAATATACTAAATAGCAATGTTAATATATAATTATGATGAAATGTTGCCTTTTTTTCTTTTTTGGTTGGTCATGGGGTTTGAACTTTGGGCCTGGGCACTGTCCTTCAACTCTTCAGCTCAAGGCAAACACTCTACCGTTTGAGCCACTCTACCACTTGAGCTCAAGGCAAGCACTCTACCACTTGGCTTTTTGGTGATTAATGATGAGTCTCAAGGACTGTTTTACCTAGACTGGCTTCAAGCCATGATCCTCAGATCTCAGCCTCCTGAAGTATCAGCATCTTGCCAGTGTTTTTAATTTCTTTAGATTTGGAATATTTGTGTATAACTCATTTGGATGGATCACAGTTTAGACACAAAAATTAGTTATTTCATATTCACTTATACAATTATATTGAAGAAAATTTTATGCAACATTTCTTTTTATTTTGCCTCACTATGATTAGAACCATTTGTAAGATGTCAGATGCAATATTTTCCACTTCAAAGGCTCATTGCCTCCAAAATTTTCAGAAATTGGGTTACTTTGGGTTTATAGATAAGGGATACTTAAGTCAATGTATGGAAAGATCCTAGGCACATTTCTAACCGAGAGTCTAGCAGCAATAGGCAATGGGTTAGAAATATCTTAATGAATCCAAAATATTATCAACAAATCCAAGATATTATCAATTAAACATTCATACCTTCCACTAGATAGGTATTTCCTTTTAGGAGGTCTCTGTCGAGCACTTTCAATGATATACTACAAGAAGAAAAGTTCATAAAAAGTTTGCCTTTTGTTTTGTGCATGGACAACTATATTAAGTACTATATATCTAAAATAGCTAAAATAGTCACTTAAGTCACTCAAGTGCTTGACACGTTAAATTATGCCTTGCAAGAAAAAAATTCCTTAACTTCTAAATATATAGTTATAAACAAGTGAAAAACTGCACTAAGATTTAACACAATATTATTGTTATAAATTGTTATTTCACAAGATAGAAATTTACTCAATGCTTTATTGCTATTAAAAATGTGCTACTGTATTAAAAATTGTACATTCAGTTGCAAGAATTCTATGTTTCTTAGTTATTTTGGAGAACTTCTCAAAAGCAGAAAAACAACTTTAAGTATACTGCTGAACGAGCTTTCACATAAACAGACATTCTTATGTAACCAACACTGTAATCAAAACAAGAGTATTTCCATCACTACAAAACTAAAATATTAATGTATTCCTTTGAAGATAAAATACAAAAATCTTAGTTTTTCTTAGTTTCTAACACCAGTACTTCAGTGTATAATTTAGTCATGCCTTACCTCTGCACGATCCAAAGCTAGTTCTAAAGCTTGTTGCTGTAAAAAATAAAGTGTTTTTGGTTAGTTATTTCCACAAAAAATAATTTACACAAAAATAATTATTTTTTGCTTAAATGTCTCATTTTCTGAAAAAGCCCAAGGTATTCTCCTTTTTTTCTCTTTTCCAACACACTGTATGATCGAGGCACGTAACAGGAAAAAAAAAATATGACTGTTTGGGGCAACTAATCACAACAAACTAGACAGAAAAAAATGGTGTCCCCAGCTAGTATTTGTTGAGGCAGATATGTCTTCAACATTTGGTCACAATCTCCTTCAAACACCGGGGAGGGATATCATAGATACTCTAGATACAAAATACAAGGTGAGATCAGAATCTGCTGTGACAACTTCATTTTTTCCTCTAAAAACTGGGGCATGGATAGATTGGCAAGGTCCCAGGAAGTATTTCCTGGTTTGTATTACAGAATAGGGTTCATTAATTCATCACTGTTATCAGTGTTTACTTACTATCAAGTATCTTATTTATTTTGCAGTACTGGTATTTGAATTAAGGGCTTCTAGGTGGGTGTTCTACCACTTGAGTGACTCCTCCACATCTGCTATTTGTTGGCTATTTGGAGATGAGAATCTATGGAATTTTTTTGCTTGAACTGAAACCCTCTAGATGATCTCAGCCCATGAGTAGCTAGGATTACAGGCTTGAGCCACAGGAGACTGAGTTATCAAATACCTTTTAAAATATCAATTTTAAAATCTAGTTTGAAATAACATTTAATGATATTTAAAATATCAGAAAGTATTCCCCCCTTCACAAGGTTTAACTTTCATTGTAGTATTGGGGATTGAACTCAGGGCCTCACATCCATTTGAGCTATGTTGCCAGTGCTTTTTTTTTTTTTGCTTTGGTTACTTTTTAGATAGGTCTATTAGCATTTTTGCTTTAGCCAGCCTCAACCTGCATTCTCTTAGCTTCGCCTCCAAAGTAGCTGAGATTATAGGCATGCAACTACACTTCATCTTAGGCTTTAATGTATTTTCTTTTATTGTTCTGTGGTGCTGGGGGTTTAGCTATTCTAGGAGAGTGCTTGTACTCTAGGCATGTGCACTTTCAGTGAGCACTTTAAGCTTTAATGTTTTAAAGGTAAAAGTTAAATCCCAGTTGCATACTAGTGGCTCACACTTATAATCCTAGCTACTCTGAAGGTTGTGATCTGAGGATCAAGGTTTGAAACCACCTCAGGGAAGGAAAGTACATGAGAGTCTTATCTTCAATTAACGAACAAAAAGCTGGAAGTGGAGGTGTGTGGTTCCAGTGGTAGAATGCCAGCCTTAAGAAAGAAAAGCCAAATGATAGTGTGAACCTGAATTCAAGCACCAGTGTGCACGTGAGTGTGCACTTGTACACATGAACGCATATATACACACAGACACACATGCATAGATTAAATGCTTACTCATAAGGATATTTGTCACTATGAACAGAAATATATTGCTGCTTAAAATGTTACATTAAAAAAATTAAAAACCAGGGTCTCATATCTAAAGTATACATACAACTAAAAAAAATTAAAGCCCACAAAAACAAATCCTCTAAGAAACAACCACCCCATTAATAAGTGGGCTAAAGACATAAAGAGACTTCTCTAAAGAGAAAGAATGGCCAATAAATACATGAAGAAATGCTCAATATGCAACTCAAAACAACATTGAGATTCCACCTCACCCCAGTTAGAATGGCCATTATCAAGAAAACTAATAACCAATGCTGGAGGGGATGTGGCCAAAAGGGAACACTACACTGTTGGTTAGAGTGCAAACTTGTTCAATCACTCTGGAAAGGAGTGTGGAGGTTCCTCAAAAGACTCCACATAGAGCTCCCCTATGACCCTGGAATCCCACTTCTGGGGATTTACCCAAATGACCACAAACCTGGTCACACTAAAGCTACCAGCACAACTATGTTTATCACAATATTATTCACCATAGCTAAAATATGGAACCAATCCAGATGCCCCTTAGTAGATGAATGGATTAAGAAAATATGGCATACACACACACACACACACACACACAGACAGACACAGGAATTCTATGCTTCCATCAGAAAAAAATGACACTGCCCCATTTGTAAGGAAATGAAAAGACTTGGAAAAAAATCATATTAAGTGAAGTAAGCCAGACCCAAAGAAACGTTAAGTTCCATGGTTTCCCTTATTTGTAATAATTAGAATACATCTAGGATAATCTTAGCAGATGAGCAGAATAGCTCAATAGCTATGTATATATAACCATGTAAGATGATGCTGAGTGAAATGAACTCCATAGATACAAAAGGTTTTTCTTTGTTGTTGCTCTCAATGTTCTAAGTGATTTCTTTTTTCTTTTGTGTTTTTCCTTCTATGGTTTATCCCCTGTTGTCACTGTATTTGATTTTGGTACCCTGGGTACTGTATTGATGTTTATCTGAATTAGGGAAGGGAAGAAGAACAACAAAATCGTGAGACAAAGGACAAAGTGGGATATTCACAAGAGAGTATGTTGGAAATGATCTGTATAACTTGTGGGGGAGGGGAGGGAAAAAGAGAAATGAGGGAGGGGATAATAAGTTAGACAAGAATTATAATCACTACCTTACTTATGTAACTGTAGTCCCTTGACAATAAAATTAAAAAAAAAATTAAAAACCTGGGCTGGAAGGAGGCTCAGTGGTAGAATGCTTGCCTTGTATGCATGAGGCCCTGGATTCGATTCCTCAGCACCACATAAACAGAAAAAGCCTGAAGTGGAGCTGTAGCTCAAGTAGTAGAGCGCTAGCCTTGAGCTGAAAAGCTGAGGGACAGTGCCCAGGCCCAGAGTTCAGGCCCCACAACCAGAAAAAAAAATTAAAAATCTAAGCAAAAATTATTTGTATTTATACACATCTTCCTCGCCAATGATCCAGAAAATGGCAATAATATTAAAAGTAATAATACTGGGATTAATGATATAACTTGTAATAACAGATTCAAGAGATGAACCACATATCTTAGATTCTGCACATGACTGCTAAGTAATTTCCTAATTATGTTAATTTATACAGCTAGCAGGAGTTTAATACAAATACTTTTATGGAGACGAAACAAATACAAATTTGAGTATAGCTTACCATTGTGGCATCACATAGGAATCCAAAAAGAAGGGAACTTATATGTGTTGGTGAAGTGAGGTAAAAACCATGTCTTTTATATCAAGCTTATATATATTCACTGTAAAAATAAAAACAACAAACCCCTCATGTTAATATGAATAGAAAAGATTCAATAAATAACAAGAGAAATACTTGAGGTATATACATTCTTAATATGGTTTAATAATCTTCCACAATAAAATTCATCTATGTTCTCACTGCTGAAAAGCAGTTACAAATAGGTAATAATGCAAGAGGGATTTCAAGTTAAAAATCATGACTTCCTTTTTCTCAAAAATACTGAACATTGTTAGATAAAAGAATAAATGTGTTGACTTATCAGTACTGTAACTCTCACATTTCCTGTGAATTATTCTAAGAGCCTGCCCACTGGCTTCATACAGTTCTTTTCACAAATGATAGAACTCATCATGCCCGCTGAAAGAAAAAAAAAATCTCTACAGGTATTTTCTCCCTCAATGTCCCAGGCTACATTTTCCAGATAACAGCAGCCCTTCTTTTCCTGAAAAAAACCTCTTCCCTGGAATACAGGGGTTCTTATCCTGGCTCCAAAACCAAGTAACCTACTGAGCTTTAATTTTATATGATGCCTCTGCAGACTCCCATCATTATGATTAACTGGTCTGGAATAGGGTCCAGGGAGCTGCATTTCTGGAGTTTACTAGGTGATGTTAGAATTAATGCCCACTGTTCTGTCCTCTCTTCTTACCAGAGATAATATATGTTTATGGAAGAATGAGAAATAGAGCTTACTTGCATCTAATCCTTCAGCTAACTTCTGTATCCACTGCTGCACACACAGCCAAGCTCAAGCACAACTTCTGTCAACAGAAAGTAAGATATACCATGTAAAACTGTTTTTTGTTTTTGGTAAAACCCAAAGTTTAGATCCTTTTTGTGTCAGGTCAAGTAAAAGAAAAATTCAAAAACAACAAAATCTCCCAAAAGCTACAAAAAAGGGATGCAGGAAGCTAATCTAATACATTACAGGCATCATGTAGGCTGCAGAGTTAATCATTAAAAACCAGTGACATTAATTCTATCTTTGAATTGCTCATAGGGGGTTTCAGTTGAATTAGGTAAAGATAACCATTAAATCTAAGATGAGGATATAAGTACTTACAGGTAAAATGTAATTACTATGAAATTAACTTTTAACTAAATTGATTGGGGGGTTGTAACTTTAAATTATTTGAATATAACATAGTAACTTCACTACTTCTAACAAAATATTCTGCCCTATACATGATTTACCTGAACGTGTGAGAAATCATAATTATCACTGGCTCCATTTCTATAATAAAGGCACTCAGATCCAGTGATACTCCTAATATCACATAGCTAGACTAGGTTTTATTTTTGTGCCAGTCCTAGGTCTTGAAATCCTGGCTTGGACACTGTCTGTCCCTGGGCTTTTTTGCTCAAGGCTAATGGATACTCTACCACTTGACCCACAGCTCCATTTCCATCTTTCAGGTGGTTAACTGGAAATAAGAGTCTCAGGGGCTTTCTTGCTTGCCCAGGATTGCTCTAACGCTTGATCCTCTGATCTCAGTCCCCTAAATGGCATGAAATTAGTAGTAGATTAGCAGGAGTAATATTATATAGGCACGAGCCACTGGCGCTCCGTTTGGGTTTTTTTCTCTCTCTCACACACACATTATCCACTTTAGTAGGTTTATTTCTAATATTACAATGTTCGGACCACTCAAACCAAAGTTCTAGTTGAAACCAAATTTTAAACGAACTTTTCCTTTAACCAAAGCTTTTAAAAATTTTATTGATCAAACTTTTGATCATTAAGGATCGATCACAGCAGCCTGTGCTCGATCGAACCCCAGACATCTGACTGAATTCCGGACTGTGTTTCAAGGCTGACTAGGGAATGTGAAGAAACCCTCTCCTCCCCGACCCGTGCGGTGACAACCGGAGATCCTTCTTAGAGGCACAGGTGTTTTCCAAGTTCAGGCCTCCACGCCCGGTAAACCGTGGCCGGGCCCCGAAATGAATCGGGTTCTAAATGTCACTATCCAGGAGTTCCACAGGGGTGAACCTCGTTCCCGGCGTAGGACCTTCGGTTCACAACCCCGGGCGTGAACTCTGCAGAGCGCTTCGCCCACCCCGCGCGGGGTCACGACCCGCCTTTATCCAACATGGACGCCACAAAACCTCCCCCCCCACCTCTCCACCCCCTCCCCCGAAAGCGCCGCGCAAGATTCCCACGAGTTCCCGGAAACACCGGTGACGGGAACTTGAGACGTCTCCAGGAAAATGCCAAGCGCGGCTCGGCGCCTCCGCGAAACGGCCAAGGCCTCCGCCCAAAGGTCCCCTTTCAGGCCTGCAGGGCCCGGCGGCAGAAGTATGCCGTCGCCCTCCGCCCCTCAACCCGTAGACCCCTCACAGAAGGTTCGGGAAGCGGCTTCCTCACCCTGCACCCGGTCAAGCCTCGGAGCCGCGAGCCTTCCCCACCCACTCGCCGGCCCCGGTGCACCTGCGCGGGCCGCCGCCCCCGCCGGGCCTCCCGACGCTACCTCAGTCCCGGCCGCAACGCCCACCGCCCCTTTAGCGGCGCGGTGAGACAAAGCTGCCAATCACCTATCCCGGCTACATTCAGCCAATCACCTGTTCCAGAGGCCGCACTTCCGACTGCAGAAATGGGCGGGACCGGTGCTGGCGCGGAAGGGGCGGAGCTTGGATGGAGGGTGCCAAACTTGGAAGGCGGGGAACTGGCCGGAAGGCTGGTACCCGGGATGGGCAATGGAAGCTGGCAGATTCCTGCCCTACGAGCTCGGTGCAAACTCTGGCGTCGGGCGTGTGGAAAATGGGCGAGACAGAGCTAGAGAGAGAGGGAGGGAGAGAGAGTGTTCCTTGCGGTGCTGGAAACTGCAACGGTAGATGGGAGAAAACGTGAAACGTTGCGGGGCATCACTACCTACCTTTGCTGGTCAGTCCATACACCTTTCCACAGTAGATCAAATGCTAATGATTTTTTTTAATTAACCACCCCCCCCCTCCAGAGACCGGTTCTAAAACATTCAGACACTGGGGCTTCGATGTGGCTCAAGTGATAGAACGCTTACCTATCAAGCACAAGACCCTGAGTTCAAACCTCCCCACAAATGTTTCGAAAAATATATCAGACAGCATCAACCGTGCATATTGTGGGATCTGGTTGTAATTCTGTATTTTTGAAGCAGTTTTGAGTAAATGCTTTATATAAATTGAGGTGAAATTCACAGTGGCCTTGTGCAAATGAACCATTTTTAGTACACTCCAGTGGCATTTAATCCATTCATAATGTTAGGCAACTGTCACCTCTAGTCCTAAAGCACTTTTGTAACTTTAAAACTAAACCAGAACTCATTAGGTAGTTAGTTCCCATTCCTCTCTCTCCCAGCCCCTGTCAAAACAGCTTTTGGACTATGGGTTTATGTATAGTAAATACTTTGTATAAATGGATATGCAACGTCTTTTGTGTATCGTCTTCCACTTAGTATGATGTTTGGCTGGCTCACTTTGGACATATTGTAGTGTAACAAAGAATTAGTAGTTTTTTGATAAAAAGTTGTGAATTTTCACTTGGGCCTGCCAATGCTTAATGGGTCAGAATGAGTTTGGTATCTCTGCTTCAATTTTGTATGTTTCCTATGCTCTGAGCCATTCTCTCCTAGTCACCTGGTATTCTAGGAGCAATAGGTCTGATGGAAAAAAAATCTTAAGAAAATGAAAGGTAGTGATTAAATATAAGCAGTGAGGATTTGCGAAACAAACCTAAAATAGAGGATTCTTCAAATTCTCCATTCCTTGAGCAGGGGAAAATTACTAGTGAGCTAAGGAAAGTAAGGATGTATTTGGTTCATACCTAGACCTAGAGGACTAAAACAATCAGCTACACAAAAATTTATATACTGTCCAATTATAAAAAAAAGAATGTAAAGACTGCCTAAACTGCTACCTAGCTCCAGTTCAAACCATTTGGAGTGACTCAGAAAGCTGAGATGTGAGAATCAACAGTTTGGAATCAGTCTGTGCAGACAAATCCATCAGACTCTTATCTCAGTTATTCAGCAAAAAGCCAGAAGTGAAGGTGAGTCTCAAGTGGTAAAGTAGCAGTGAACAAAGCAGCTCAAGGCCCTAAGTTCAAGCTTCTGGACATGGAAGAAAACAAAAACATGTCTTATATCCTTCCACTAATAATAGGAGGATTCCTCTTCCTACCTACTTCAGGAAGCAGTGATTTTTTTTTTTTGGTTGGTTGTGGGGCTTGGGCTTGGGCATTATCCCTCAGCTCTTCAGCTCAAGGCAAGTGCTCTACCATTTGAGCAGCCACAGTGCCACTTCCTGTTTTCTAGTGGTTATTGGAGATGAGTCTCATGGACTTTCCTGCCCGGGCTGGCTTTGAACTTCGATCCTCAGATCTCAGCCTCCTGAGTAGCTAGGATTACAGGTATGAGCCACTGGTGCCTGGCAGAGCAGTGATTTTTCTTATCATGACATAGTTCTCCTGAGGTACTGATTTGACACAGACTGATTCTGAATGCCTCCTGCTCCGCCCTCCTGTCTATTCTTGTTCCCAAATGAGATCCCTTTCTGAACTCAGAATTATGGAATTAATAATGACTGAGAACCTGTTGAGCACTGGAGGAGATTTTAGTTTGGGCCAATAATAGAAGTGGGAGATAAAGTTCCAAATTGACTTCTCAACTTCCTCACCCTTAGGCTATAGCAGAGGGTCAGGGTTTATAGATATAGAAATGAGGGATTGGTTAATACAGTGAAGAATATTCATGTTTTTTTCTGGGAACTTGGTGTAACTTCTTTTAGTTCCTTTTATGGTTCCTACCAGCTGCTATCATGGCACTAAAAGGTGTGTCATTTACCTTGTAGGTGGCATCATAAAGAAGTTTGGGATTCTTTGGCATTCTCTCTAATAACCATCTTAGAACCAACAGGTTTTTGCAAGCTCATCTCAAGAGGAATATTTAGGCATCCTGTCCTTAAAGATGAACAAGATTGAGGGGTGAATATTAGAAATTCAGCTAAGTCACCTAGTCAGTATTCAGGCTAATAGTTTCTCATCTCATTAAAAAATCTTATACAACCCTGATTTCCCCCATTTCCCCTCTTTCTACTCTATCCCCTATTAACTTCACATTAGCTTCTTTCCTGTTAACTGAAAATACCAAGCCTATTAGTGCCTCTGGGCCTTTACAGTAGCAATTAGTTTCTCTAATAATAAAAGCTCCAATTATGAGCACATTATTATGTATTTCCAAGAGATTATTTTAGGAAGTAATTATTGTACCAATATCATATTGGAAAAGTTTGAGCTGGGTGCCAGGGGCTCATGCCTGTTATCCTAGCTATGTGAAAGACTAAGATTAGAGGAACTTGGTTCTAGACTAGCCAGATGGAGCAGAAAAGAAAGACTTTATCTCAAGGAAAGAAACTGAGTGTCATGGCGCACATCTATCATCCTCACTATGATGGGAGTTGAAAAGCAGGAGGATGGCAGTTTAGTGGTTTGCGCAGGAAGAAATATTTTTCCTTTAAAAATGACCAGCATTAAAAAGGACTACAGGCATGGTTCAGCAGTGGGATCTTGCCTCAAAATGCAAGGTCTGGGAATGTGACAGTGGTGGAGGGCTTACCTAGCATGCATGAAGCCCTGGTTCAATTCCTCAGTACCACATAAACAGAAAAAAACAAGAAGTGGCGCTGGGCTCAAATGCTAGCCTTTGGCAAAAGAAGCTCAGGGGTAGTGCCCAAGCCCTGAATTCAAATCCCCGGGCTGGCAGAAAAAGAAAAAGAAAAGAAAGAAAAAAAGTTCAAGGTCCTAAAACGGGTGCTGGTGGCTCATACCTATAATCCTAGCTACACAGAAGCCTGAGATCTGAGGATCTCCGTTCAAAACCAGCCCAGGTAGAAAAGTTCATGAGACTCTGATCTCCAATTTAATCACTAAAGGGCCAGAAGTAGAGCTGTCGCTCAAGTGGTAGAGCACTAGTTTTGAGCAACAAAACTATCTCAGGGATATCTCCCAGACCCTAAATTTAAGCCTAAGCTCCAACACACACACACACACACACACACACACACACACACACACACACACACGACCAGACAAAAGTTCCAGGTCCCAAGTTCCAACCTCAATATTGAAAAAAAAAGTTCCTATAGTATCATATCTAATAAGAATTTGTTTTCCTGTCAATTACAAAAACTGTTCAAAGTTCACACATTGTGTCTGTTTTATATGATAATTTTGATATATTTGATCTATAACACTTCTCCCTCCCACTTATGTGAGTTGGGAAAATATACTGGACAAGGTGGTACACACTTGTAAACACGGCACTTGGGTGGCTGACATAGTAGGATCATGAGTTTGAGGACACTCTGAGCTACATAGTAAGACCCAGTAACAAAGAAACAAACAAAAGCAAAAACAATGTATCTCTGGTGCATGAAATGTCCCATAACAGAGACTGATTTTTGTATTAATGCAGTTATCAACTTTTTTTAAATTTCTTCTAAATAGAATATTAGACCTGGGAGTCTAAATGAAATTTAAATTTTTGAAGTTAGATTTGAAAAGAAACTGCATCTATATATTTTTTAATTTAATTTTATTTTATTTGTGAACATACTGTACAGAGGGGTTACAATTACATGGGCAGGATAATGCGTACATTTCTTACCAAGCATTGCAGCCTCCTGCTTTGGTTTACCTTTCACATCCCTTCCCAGCCTCCCCCCTCCCCCCCAATCCCAATCCTTCTCCTTCCCCCCCTCCCCCCGCCCCCGCACCGACGTTGTAAAGCTCGAAACTGCATCTATATTAAAGATACTGAAGGACATAGATCTGTGAAATCTCAGAACATGGGAATTTTAGGCAGAAGAATCATGAGTTCTAGGTTAATCTGGTCTATGAACTGAGACCCTTTCTAGGAAAAAAAAAGATCCTGCAGACTGCCGACTTTGGCTGTAGTCTCTTTAAAACACCATTTACTATCCATCTTTACCTAAAATCTTGGGAATGCATTGCCATATTGACACAGGTGGCCTCTAGCAAGCTAGAGCTATGAATATGATAAAGACACATCTGCATCCTACATTATTCCCTGCCTTGCTGTTATACTCCCACCTCTTGTACACCAAACACCATCTACAATATGTACTTGACAAACCATAGATACCACCCACGTATGCTGTAGACATGCTTTGATTCCTGACTTTTGTGTCTATAAAACTTGTTAGAACATCCCTCAATATAATAAAGGCTGTGTATGACAAACATACAGCTAGCATTATACTTAATGGCAAAAGCTAACCATTCCTCTAAATTCAGGAATGAGACAAGGATGTCTGCTCTCTCCACTCCTCGTCAATATAGTATTAGAATTCTAGCTAGAGCAATAAGGCAAGATGCAAACATAAAGGGAATCAAAATAGTGAAAGATGAAGTAAAACTCTCCCTCTTTGCAGATGACATGATCCTGTATTTAAAGAATCCCATAGACTGTACTCTCAAGTTACTGGCTTTTCTA